ACCTAGGGAGGATTTTATTTGGGGTTTATCTTTTAACAATTTGACAGAGACACAACTTTAAAATTTGATTTAATTCGGTTTTATCGGGGGGGAATGTATTTATGTTTTGTTTTAAATATGTTGTGCGCCGCCCTGAGTCCCGCTGGGAGAAGGGCGGCATATAAATTAAATTTATTATTATTATTATTATTATTATTTTTTTAATCCTCGGAAGGCATCCGTATGCTTTTTTGAGACAGGTTTTCCTTGCAGAATGCTCCTTTTAGTGGATAGATTGAAACCCAGATATATTTGTCCAGGGGTGGTAAGGAAGACTACTCCACTTCAGGAGAAAAGTGGATATTTTGGACATGAGAATGTGTTTTTTTGTTTTTTTTTTTAAAAAAGGCTAATTAAAATCGTGTTTAAATGGAGGCACCGCGCACCCTCCCCGTTTGAGATTACAAAAGCTGCATAATTCGCTCGGTGACCTATTTTCAGTTGCCAGGAGGAAACCAATGTGAGGAGGGGGTTTTTTGGGGGGGCAGCTGATGCTGCATAATTTTATCCCGTTGTTTTGTAGAAATTAGCCGCTCTCTTCTCTGCTCGGCTTTCCTCCCAGCAAAGGGACAAAACGCTTCCTCTTTTCCGCGGCTTTTCTATATTTTTTTTCTTTTTTGCAAATATTCACAAACACGCACCCAGGCTTGTGTTCATCCTCTTAGCAAGCCCATCATTTTAAAAAATATCGGCTGGAAGATGGCTAGGGATTGTGGTGCAATTGTAAAAAGTCTTCGGCACTGATCTCGCGCTTTCGTGAAATCAATCTTTTCAGAACCTACATATTTATAAATTTTAGAAAAGCAGAACATATTTCTTGGTTCAATCGTGGCCGATTCTTGGGAGTTTCTGTGGGGTTGGGCTGGATGACCTCACGGGCCCCCTCCCGGCTCCAAGGTCTGGTTTTTCTGCCCAATGCTGCATCATCCATCTGGGGGGGGGGAAAGCTAGGCAAATGCAACGGACATTTTTTTTGGCCGAAACAATGACCCCCCTTCTCTGTTCTTCTCCTCCTTTTTTAACCGGAATAACCGTGGTTGTGTTTTGTAGGATCTGAGCGAGTTTAATGCCACGGCGGTCAAGAGCTTCACCAATACGGTGACCGTCCCAAACCTCAAAGCCGGGACAATTTACGTCTTCCAGGTGCGAGCCCGCACAGTGGCCGGTTACGGACGCTACAGCGGGAAAATGTACTTCCAGACAATGACGGAAGGTGAGCGGCAGGGGTTTCTCCCCCCCTCCCCAATTAGAGGTTCCCCCCTCCCCAATCAATCGACAGAGCTCAATTGTGTCAAGGACTACCTGTATATCAGTTTTCTGGATTGTTGGGGAGCTCTAATGGTGGGTTTCTCTGCTGCCCGGGGGGTTGGACTAGATGACCTTGAGAGGTCCCTTTCATGCTTCTTTGAAATGAAAAGACATCAAATTTTGGACGGACACCAGGGAGGTTTTTGCCAAGGGAAGGAATTGTTTCATGCTTCCCTGTTTAAACCAAGGTTGGATGGCCATCAGAATGCTGTACCTGTGGGGTTTCTGCACCAGGCAGAGGGCTGGACTGGATGACCTCTGAGATCCCTTCCAATCTTTCCACTGCTGATTTCGTGATCTCATTTAAAAACCCTGCACCGAGCGTGGGGTTGGACTGGATGACCTCCCTAACCCTCTTCCAACCTTTCCCTCAAGGATTTCGTGATCTCATTTAAAAACCCTGCACCGAGCACGGGGTTGGACTGGATGACCTCTCGGGTCCCTCCTGATCTTCCCTTTCTGTGATCCTCTCTGCTGATGCCTCATTTTAATTTGTTTTCCTTTTTTTTTTTTGCATGCTGTTCCAGCCGAGTACCAAACCAGCATTCAGGAGAAGCTGCCTTTGATTATCGGTTCCTCGGCGGCAGGACTGGTCTTCCTCATCGCCCTGGTGGTCATCATCTTGGTTTGCAACAGGTGGGCAAGAATCGAGAACGAGGGCTTTTCCGAAGAAAGCAGAAAGAAACGTTTCAAAGAGGCTTCCGTTTTTCTGCCTCGTCTCGGGATACGGTTAGAACATCCCACATTTCCTGAGTTCCGTTTGTGGGTTGGCTTTCCCCCCTTTCTGCAACAGTTTTTAAGAAGAGATTGGACAATCGTTTGCTGGAAATGGAATAGGGTCTCCTGCCTGAGCAGGGGGTTGGACTAGATGACCTCCGAGGTCCCTTCCGACTCCGTTTTTCTATTCTGTTCTGCAGTTTTTCTATTCTCTATCTAAGAGATTATGTTTTTCAAGGAGAGATGGGAGAGATGGGACAAAGTCTCCTGCCTGGAGCAGGGGGTTGGACTAGAGGACCTCCAAGGTCCCAGCCAGCTCTCGGATTCTATGTACCTGGGAGCTTATGGGGGGGCTGGATAAGCCACCTGCTCTCTGCGCATACCTCACCTTTACTATATGTGCAACTCCATGCCTGATTTATACTGGGGCTAGTTCGGCTTCCGCAGGGCGAGGCGGGGCTTAAAGGGAGGGGTCTTTGTTGTGGGGGAGGAGAATAAAGGTTGGGCGGGTGGGGGGGACACATTGCTGAAGCCCACCCTTGCCCCCCTAGTCCATCTGCCTACCGTTCAGCACGGTGCTCTCCTTCCAGAAGACGTGGATTTGAGCGCAACGATTCGGAATACACCGACAAGCTGCAACACTACACCAGCGGCCACAGTATGTATGAATTTGAGGATGGGGCGAGGTTGGGGGGGCAGGAGGGAAGAGCAGCATGCACCCCCAAAATGTGCCGTTGGGGCGATAACCTGCACAGCCACTGACAAACACCAATAAGTCCCAGAGAAGCCCTGAGCGGTAGTCCTCAACAACGATTTGTTTAGTGACCTTTTTACTAGGGGAGGAGCTTCTGTTAGGCTTAACCAGGATTTCAAAAATGCACGGTGCGATGCCAAACCACAATTGGGGGCTTGCCTTTCTTGCAATTCTACGAGAGAGACGGGTTAAGCTCAATTGATGTTCCTGAATGACTGACGCTTATCCTAGCCTACCTCGCAGGGTGGGTTGTTGGGGAAGCGAAACAACTCCCCCCCTTAAACTAGGGCTTATCAACCGGGGGGGGAGCAAACGACAGATGTCGGCTTCTTCTCCTTTGAGCAGTTACTCCGGGGATGAAAATCTACATCGACCCCTTCACCTACGAGGACCCCAACGAGGCCGTCCGGGAGTTTGCCAAGGAGATAGACATCTCCTGCGTGAAAATCGAACAGGTGATCGGGGCAGGTGAGGCCGACCCCAGAGACTCTTGGGCGCTTCTGGTGATTTGTGTATTTGGCGCTGAGTTTGGCGAGGAGGAGGAGGAGGAGGAGGAGGAGGAGGACAACGACGACGACGACGACGACGACTGTGGGGTACTTTGATGCTCTCTGAATTTGGTAGTTTTCTGGCAGACGTTTCATGACCCAACTAGGTAATATCATCAGTGTTAGAAGGGAGTGGGTTTGCAGAGAGAGGGAGGAGAAAGGAGGGAGGAGGAGGAGGAGGAAGAAGAGGTAGAGGAAGAGGAAGAGGAGGAGGAAGAGGAGGAGGACTGAGAGTCCTTTGTGGTCTGAGCTTAGGGCTTTCCTTGCAGACGTTTCATGACCCAACTAGGGAACTTCATCAGTGCTAGCAACGATGATGTTACCTAGTTTGGGTCATGAAACATTTGCAAGAAAACAACCACCAAGGACCCCACAGTCGTCGTCGTCCTCCTCCTCCTCCACCTCCTCGAGGAGGAGGAGGAGGAGGAGGAGGAGGAGGAATGTTACCTATTTGGGTCATGAAACATCTGCAAGAAACCCCCCAAAGTCAGAGATAACCAAGGACCCCACATTTCAACCCTGAAAGGTAGAAATGTGAGATTTTGGGCGGTGTGTGTGTGTGAGAATAAATGTCTTTTTCTGCTCTTGATTTTCCCTCCCCCTCCCCCCCAGGAGAATTTGGCGAGGTCTGCAGCGGTCACCTGAAGCTGCCGGGCAAAAGGGAGAGCTTCGTAGCCATCAAGACCCTAAAATCGGGGTACACCGAGAAACAGCGGCGGGACTTCCTGAGCGAAGCCAGCATTATGGGTCAGTTTGACCACCCCAACGTGATCCACCTGGAGGGGGTGGTGACAAAAAGCCCCCCGGTTATGATAGTCACCGAATTCATGGAGAACGGGTCGTTGGATTCCTTCCTTCGGGTAAGACCCCCAAGTGGGGAGCAGCCGTTTCTTCCTCCTTCACAGGACCCCCGCCCTTAGGTCCAGGGTCTCCTGCTTGAGCTGGGGGTTGGATTGGAGGACCTCCAAGGCCCCTTCCAGCTCTATTCTGATTGATGATTTGAAGTCCGTCCCATGAATCCGGAAAAGAACTTGTTGAGGAGAACTTGTTCTACTTGAGTTCACTGTTTTGAGGACATCCGGTCTCCTGGCTCGGAGGTTCCTTGACCCCAGTGGCCAGCTCACACCTTCCCATCACCTGCCCTGGATCTCACACATCTTTCCTCTCCTCCTGTTCTTCTCTTCAGCAAAACGATGGCCAGTTTACGGTCATCCAGCTGGTGGGCATGCTCCGGGGCATCGCGGCTGGCATGAAGTATCTTGCTGACATGAACTACGTCCACCGTGACTTGGCAGCCCGTAACATTTTGGTCAACAGCAACCTGGTCTGCAAAGTTTCGGACTTTGGCCTCTCCCGATTCTTGGAAGATGACACCTCGGACCCCACTTACACCAGTGCTCTGGTAAGAGGGTGGAAGGAGGCTGGTTGGCCAAGACTTTGAAAGGTTATTGAAATAAGTCAAGGGACAAGCCAGGATTTGCTACCTAACATTTTCTGCTTCTGAGGAGCTGACATGAGGTCCTCAGGCTGCAGACTGGCCACTTCTAATGATCTGCAGATGACCTGAACGGCCATTTCCAGCCCACAATGGGACTTGTAGGCCAGGAGGACTGTTATGGAAGGAGACCTCCACTGATGGGTGAAGGTCCTCCTTCCTTGAAGATATCAAAGACTTGTCCTGAAGACAAGTGCCTCGTCACTCACTTGTGGCGATTTTGGGATCAGCTCATGACTTTTCCCTTCGGTTTCTCCAAATCCAAGTGGCTCATGGGTTTTGGAGTCTCAGCTCACAGTCTTGAACATCTGAGAAGAAGTTCCTTTGCTCCGCGTGGACCATCCTTCCTCAGAAACTGGCCTTTCTCATTGTACAATGAAGAGACCCGATCATTGTCCCTTCTTCAGAAGACAAGTCCTGTAGTACAGGGGTCTCCAACCTTGGTAACGTTAAGACTTGTGGATTTCTGGGGGAGTTGAAGTCCACGACTCTTAACGTTGCCAAGGTTGTAGACTTCTCCTGTGGTACACCCAATCCTTCTCGCACCCAATTCTTCTTCTTCTTCTCGTCACAGGGCGGTAAGATCCCAATCCGTTGGACGGCGCCCGAAGCCATCCAGTACCGAAAGTTCACTTCTGCCAGCGATGTGTGGAGCTATGGGATCGTCATGTGGGAAGTAACATCCTATGGGGAGAGACCTTATTGGGATATGACCAACCAGGATGTAAGTCACAGCTTTGAAACATCTGAGGAAGCCTTGGAGGTTATAGATGGGTAGGACCTCTGGTGATGTCATCGCCTGTAACATAGGGAGCAGACAATGAGGATTTCTTCCCCCAGAAATTATGGGTTGTGAGAATTCTTCCAATGTTTCTAGGAGGCCTTCAGCCCAACCGTTCCTCCTAACTCAAAGTCTTTCTCATCTTCAACTATGTTGTTTTCTGGCCATAATAACAGTTGGTTGGATGGGATTTGTCACCTAAACCACCATTTGCAGGTAATCAATGCCATTGAGCAAGACTACCGATTACCACCGCCCATGGATTGTCCCAGCGCTCTCCATCAGCTCATGCTGGACTGCTGGCAGAAGGACCGCAACCACCGGCCGAAGTTTGGACAGATTGTCAACACCCTAGACAAGATGATCCGAAACCCCAACAGCCTGAAAGCCATGGCACCCCTTTCCTCAGGGTAAGGAAGCAGAGTCTTGAACTTTGACCCGGAAGAAGACTTTAGGTCTTCTTCATTCGTCGGAGGTAGTCCTCGACTTACAACTGTTCATTTAGTGACCGTTCAAAGTTACAACCGTGCGGATTCGCTTAACAACCGCGGCAGGAAAGGTGGTAAAACAGGGCGGAATGTGCTTAGCTAGTGCCTCGCTTAGCAACGGAAAATTTGGGGCTCACTTGTGGCTGTTAAGTCGAGGGCGACCTGCATCTGACAGGCTGGTGGTAAACTGAAATTGAAATGAATTTAATGTCGTTGACCTTGCAGGATTAATCTGCCCTTGCTGGACCGGACGATTCCAGATTACTCCAGCTTCAACACAGTGGACGAGTGGCTGGAGGCCATTAAGATGGGCCAGTACAAAGAGAATTTTGACAGCAACGGCTTCTCCAGTTTCGACTTAGTTTCCCAGATGACGATGGAGTAAGAGCACGGAACGTGAAATTGGGAAATCAGTTGTATTTTACGAGTATAAAATAAAGTACAGGTAGTCCTTGACTTGCAAGAATTTGTTTAGTGACGAGCAAAGTCAATGGGGGAAGCTGAATAGAATAGAATACAGAAATAGAATACAATACAAGAATAGAACACAATACAATACAAGAATAGAACACAATACAATACAAGAATAGAACACAGTACAATACAAGGATAGAATACAATACAATACAAGAATAGAATACAATACAATACAAGAATAGAACACAATACAAGAATAGAATAGAATACAAGAATACAATACAATACAAAATATAGAATATGCAATACAAAACATACAATGCAATACAATCTCTCCCTAATCTTCCTCCCTCTGCTCTTTTCCCGGCCCCAGAGACATCTTGCGAGTCGGAGTGACGCTGGCCGGTCACCAAAAAAAGATCCTGAACAGCGTCCAGGTGATGCGCACGCAGATGAGCCAGATCCAGTCCGTGGAAGTTTGAGACGTGCTTCTTGTACACGGCCACGGGGTCCCGCTCCCGCGTGGTCCTAATGTGTGTCCAGGTTTCCTAGGGGGGCCTTGGGCTCCCCAAACAGACATGGAGCGCCGCGCGGCCACAGACTCTGAACAGATCAGCGCAACCCTGGATTTCTTACTTAGGAGGACACGTCCAAACCCCACGTCGTCGACGTGGACCTTCTCCTCAAGGGCTAAAGTCGGGGAAGGGACGTCAAGCAGCCCTTCTCGGCCTCCTCACCTTGTCCATCCTTCAAACAAGACGGTCCAGCATCGATATCCACACCGGAGGTCCCCGAACATCTAAGAGTGGAGCTGTGGAGGCTTCATCTCATCCAGGTTTTGGTGGACGGTGATCTTTGGGCCGGACCGAAGAAGGGCGAGAGATAGGAGGTTGTTGTCCTCGACAACAAGAGACGTTACCCATGGATGGGTCTTTTGAAACCCACTTCCCTTTTGAAGGACAGAAGCTTTTTAAAAAAATAATAATAATAATTTGATGTCTTCTCCAACCCTTTTTCCTGGGTCCGAAGGAGCTTCCGACGGTTCGGGTGGGACCTTGATGGTTGGGATTGGCACAACCTGGAACAGCTCCTCTTTGCACCCCGAGCTGCAGCTCTGACACACACTCAAGATGTTCACAAGGCCTTCCTCCCTTGTCGTGTGTTGTAGACTTGACGTGTTTTTTCTTTGTTGTTGTGGTGGCGGTTGTCCTTGTTTCCTCCTTGGCAGTGGGGTCCCCAGGGGGGTTGCGTTGTTTTCGCTCTCCTCCGAATGCAAAAAAAAAAATAATTGTGTTTCTCCTGGACCCTCTCCTCCAAATCAGCATTTCCAGGGGGGTGGAGGCAGGCATTTACACCACGTTGCTCCCAAGTCTGTGTATATTTGTGTGTGAGTGTGTGTGAAAAAAAAAAAGAGCACTTCCGGGAGGAGGCAAGCGTTTACACCACGTTGCCCCCAAATGTGTCTGTATATTTGTGGGTGTGTGTGAGAGACAGGTCCTATTTTTTTTTTTCATTTGCATTTGTACTTGCTGAGCCCGTCTGATACACGTCGTCCTCAACTTACAACAGTTTGTTTAGTGACTGTTCAAAGTTACGATGGCACTGAAAAAAAAAGCCACTTAGGAACCATTTTTCACCCTTAATGACCGTCGCGGCATCCCTAGGGTCACGGGATCAAAATTCATCCACTTGGCACGACTGACTCGTATTTACGACGGTCGCAGCGTCTCCGGGGGTCACGTGATCCCCTTTTGCAGCCAGCAAAGTCAGCGGGGGGGGACCTGGTTCGCTTAGCGACTGTGTGACTCACAACCGCGGCAACAACGGTGGCGAGAAAGGTCGTCAAATGGGGCAAAACTCACTGAACAATGGCCTTGCTTGGCAGCATCCGGGGACTTCAACTCCCAGAATTCTCCATGCTCAATGGGGCATCCTGGGCATTGAAGTTCCCCCAGCCTGTTGGTTTTTGCAGCTTGGCTCTGCTCTGCGTGTGCAAAATTCTCGTTTTTTAATCCTCCCCCTCATCTGCCCACCTGTCCTGAGGCTGCCCCACCTTCCACTGGACTGAGCAATAAAATGCCAGGCTTATGGGTATGGTGATCCTTCTGAGCGGAGGGCTGTTGTGCAAGAAAGGAGGTGATTTAAGGGTGGGCAAAAGGGCTGGTTTTGTTCCAGGCTTGGAAGAGATGCCGTCAAGAATGGTCCACCCGAGCCTTTAATCTGGAAGGGGACATTATTCTCTTTAGATAATTATAGATCGCCATCTTCAAACCACCAGTCCAAACACTGGAAGTTTTTAAGAAGAGACCGGACAGCCATTTGTCTGAAATGGTATAGGGTTTCCCTGCCTGAGCAGGGGGTTGGACTAGATGACCTCCAAGGTCCCTTCCAACTTTATTATTATTATTATTAAACTGCCAGTAGGGAGGAGAAGTGGCTGCAAACAGGGAATATTTATTTAAAATTGAGAAAATGTTTTGTTCTCCTGTCTGTAATTTCTTTTGGGTTTTGTGTATGTGTGTGTGTGTGTGTGTGTGTGTAGAATTGGAGACTTTTGAACTTTGAACCTTCCCGGAACCGTCCTGCGCCCGCCTGCTTGAAGCTTCACGAAGATGCGTCTCAATTCATCGGCAGGTTTCCCCCCGTCTGAGGGACACTGTTTTGGTCCCTGGCCATTTTTCTTCTTTACCCTTGACAGTATTTGTATTTTTTACAAAAGGAAAAATTATATATATATATATATATATGTAAATAACAGGTGGTTTTCCCAGGCCCTTCTCACCCAAGGGTGCGTCTTCCATGCCGTCCAAGGCCTTCTCTGAACTCCGTCGGACATCTTTGGGGGTGTCCCCGGGAAAGAGGAGAAGGAAGAAATGAAATCCCATGTATTTATAAAAAAAAATTAAAAAAAAAGGCAGAAGCCACTACTCCGAGATCTTTGTAGGAGTATTTTTAAGAAGACATTTTTTTTGTTTTTTTTCCAAAATAAATGTGAAGTGTGAACGTCTGGACCAGTTCTTCTTTCCTGGGTTTTGGGTTGATTTTTTGATCGTCTGGGTGGAGTTGGAAGGAGAAAGCACGAAACTGGAAACCTCTCCAGGTTGGAAGTCCCCTGGGAGTAGCATCACCACAAGGTTTTTGCGAAAACCTGGTCAATTGTTGGGGGACATTGATCGCCGAACGGGGTGGGGAGAAGCAAGACAAGCCCCCCCCCCAAATTTGGCTGAGGGTGCCTGCTCAAAATCCATCACAAGGGATTGTGATGGCGTGAGGTTGTCCAATGCCCCAATAGCAGAGATGGTCTCTTGAACTATAGAAGACCCCCCCTTTACAAGTAGTCCTTGATTTACGACAGTTCGTTACAGTTCCCTACAGGTTTTCAAAAACAGAACTGGGCAAGCATTTGTCCAGGATGGTTATAAGGTCTCCTGCCTTGGGCAGGTGGGGTTGGACTAGAAGACCTCCCTTGTCCCCAACTCATCCCCCTGTCTAGCCACGTTGCAAATCCAGGATCCCAACCCAAGGAGAGCCGTCCTGGAACCGCGTTCAAAGCTTTTGGTGAACAGTGGGAGAGGAAATTGAGACTCTCTTCCACCACACACACACACACACACACACACACCCCTTCTGCTGTCTTCTGGGGGAAGAAGCCACCCATGCGTAATGCTTCGATCTTCTCCAATTAACTTTGCTTTCTCTCAACAAGGATTTTCACACCCCTGGTCTGCTCGGCAAAATAGACCTTTGGAGCGTGATGCAACCTGGCAGGGGAAGGACAGGGCGGCCGCGCAGGTGTCCCGGCCCGATTCGTTCCCACGCCGGCCTCCTAATTGGTGCAGAGACACAAAAGGACATTGTGACATGTTTCAGTCGCCCAGGATGGGCCTTCCGGAACAGCTGAGGTGGATTTGTGTGGCCTTGAACGGAGTCCTCCCCGTTTGATGGATATTACTCCTGATGTGGCCTCTTTCATTGGTGCCAACAGTGCGAAAGGGCAGTGAACTCTTGATGACTCCTCCGAAGGACAAGCTTCCATGGGTTCAAAAGTTCAGGGCTCATCAAGAGAGATCATCTTCCATCTCAAGAAGGGAAGGGGGGGTGAGATCGGAGGTTGGCCTTCAGCCCAAGGGACCGTGCCTTTCACGTGACCCCAGAGGCGGGAGGATTGGTGGAACCATCTCCTCAGAAGATGACAAGCTATGATTGATACTGTGAAAGGATGCCCCGAGCCTACTCATCGGGCGGAGGGTGGTGGGCTTTCCAAGCAACTCATCTTGAGATGAGGATGGAGAAGCAAAGTGGGAGGAGCCACATACACCCCTTTCTCTTAACATGTGCAAAAATTTAGGGCAGAGACTCCATCGGCAATATTTGCCCATCACTGTAGGCTTCACTTAACAAACAAGGACGTTTGTGGACCAACAGAGAAGAAAGAAAACCCAGGGATTTCTCATGCATGGAAGGACATCTGTTGTCACCCCGTGACAGGTTGGCCTCTGGCCATCCATGGCTACATCCAAACGCATTTGCAACTGTCTGAAACAAAGCCTTCTTCCCAGGCCAAGATGTTGGGTTGATGGACCAGAGAATGCAGCTGTCAAAAAAGCCAACACAGTCCTAGGCTGCATTAACAGAGGGATAGAATCAAGATCACGTGAAGTGTTAATACCACCTTACAAGGCCTTGGTAAGGCCACACTTGGAATACGGCATCCAGTTTTGGTCAGCATGATGTAAAAAAGACGTTGAGACTCTAGAAAGAATGCAGAGAAGAGCAACGATGATGATTAGGGGACTGGAGGCTAAAACATATGAAGAATGGTTTGCAGGAATTGGGCATGTCTAGTTTAATAAAAACATTTAACTGTGGGTAGGGAAGCGTTCCAATAATAGAAAAAGGAAGAAACAGTTTCAAATTTGAGTCAATTTTCTTCCACTGGGCAAGACACTAAGTATCAGAAACTCTATTATAACATTTTAGTAGAATCCCTTGAAAGCAAAGCAAAGCAAAGCAAAACAAACCAATCCTGGATTTTTTTTCTTAAAGAAAAAAAAAGATGGAAAAAAAAATAACAAATTCAAAATAAAACCAAGGGCTGCTTGGCAAGATTGTGACAGAGTGGAGAAGATGCAAACAAAAAAAAAACAGAAAAAGAGCTTTGAATTTTAGGTGGAGGGACGACCCACCAACCACAAGGGCAATCTGTTGCAAGAGAGGCAATCCCCATCACACACCCCCACACCAAGGCTGGCTTATGGGACCTGTAGTCCAAAGCATCTCCTATACCAGGGGTCTTCCAACTTGGCCCTTTGATGACCGGTGGACTTCAACTCCCAGAATTCCTCAGCCAGGCACACATGCATATAACCATAATTTTATTTTTATTATTATTTGTTGTATGCATTACATTTTCAGATTTTTATTTTTATTTTTTGTAAAAACAGCGAGCCTTTTAAGCGGGGGGGGGGAAATGCTCAACACG